ATATTGTTTTCATTATAAAATATTGTTGTATATATTCATAATAATTTTGTAATATTTATAATTATTGTTGCATTTGTTTCCATAGTTGTTGTTGTTGTTGTGCTTATTATTATTGCAATTTTATTTTAAATTTTATTTTTCATGTTTGTTTTTTTTTTTTTTTTTTTTTTTTGTAGATTTGTTTATAAATTTTATAAACTGCTTAATCAATGATCACAACTCTTAGCATAAATATTAATCGCATGTGGCATTTGCATCATATAGATATATATGTATATACATACACATACATACATATATATTTATATGTAGATCAATTTATATACATATACATAGTAGTGTATATATGTAGTTTATGTTTTATAAAAAATATTTCATTCAACTCGCATTCCAGTTGGCCTGCACTTTTGTTGTTGTTGTCTTTTATGCTGCGTCTTTTAACTGTTTACCTATAGCTCAATATATAAACATATATATCTAGCTATATAGTTCGATCTGTAGCTTGTCTTTTGTTTGAACACTTTCTGATTGTCGTTGGCGTCGGGGATCGGGTTCTGGTCTAGTACTATGGACTTTTTTTAACTTTTTCATTCATTGCACTGGTTTTCACATGTTTTGGAATCCGTGAAAACATGTGAAACACAAGCGGAATTCGTTGATATGTGTGTATTTCTGTATTGTTTACTTTGTTTAGCTCATGATTAGCTTAAAGGCCACGCCCTCTTTTCTTATTGTTATACTTAGCTTTGGCTGCGTGCAACTATAAGAGAGGAAGAGAAAGAGAGATAGTTACAAATTAATGAAATGAATATAAAAACATTAAAGGGCAAGGGACAGAAGTGAATAAGAGACAGAATAAACATATTGTAATTACCTTCCCATATGTACATATATCATCATATACCTAATCTTTTATCTATTCCCCTAAAATTTCAAGTGTAAAACTATATTAAGTTGCCACGAAATGTAGCAGAACACTTGTTTAATAATATACAAGGAGATTTTCAAAAAAACAACCAAAAAATACGAATAGTATATTTTTAAT